ACTCTCCCTCTCACCCCACAGTGTGAACACTGGGCGCCTACCTTACTCTCCCTCTCGCCCCACAGTGTGAACACTGGGCGCCTACCTTACTCTCCCTCTCACCCCACAGTGTGAACACTGGGCGCCTACCTTACTCTCCCTCTCACCCCGCAGTGTAAACGCCGGGCGCCTACCTGACTCTCCCTCTCACCCGACAGTGTAAACGCTGGTTTTGATCCCATAGCATTGTTCTTCAGAATAAATCTATCAGTTTCCCAACCCACAGATGGTCCACATTTTTGCTCCCTCCCAGCTGAAATAGATAGAAGAATAGTGTGGTATGAGACCTAAAAAGTTCATTTTTCTAAAAAGTCAGCTGAAAAGGACCATTTTATTATAAACATTGTTGTGCTTATTTAGTGGGTAACATTCTTTCAGGCAGTTTGAGTCATGCAATTAATTGCTGAGAGGGTAGGACACACCACTCTGAAAAGAAGCAGGCATTTGGCCTGACTGGTAATGCAGTTGCATTTCGGCTCCACTAGAGGGAGTTAGATGATCAAATATGATGCCCGCTCAAACCTGTTCTACTTCCAGCCTCATGCATACGACCGGGCACAATCTGTGCCGCTTCTCATGCCTGTTTCCTCTTTTCCACGATTATTTTCCCTATTGCTTCCCGCCCTCCCCATCCCTCTCTGTCACCCTCAGCATGATGTGCCAGTTCAGCGTGGTGGAAAGCAAAAGTGCCACCTTCCCCACGGAGAAGCCCAGGCACCTGCTGGATGACAGCTTCCTGGAGTCCCAGAGCCCTGCCAGGAACCACACACATCACTCTGTCTTCACCAATGGCGTGTCTCTAGGTGCCAAAATCCCTGCCCCCTTTCCTGTCCACAACTCTCCTTAATCAAGGCCTTTAATTATCATTTGTATCTCACTTTGGGTAAAAGCATCTACTAAATAAATAAAATTTAATCTCCGGAGAAGTGCCTCGAACCTGGTCACTGATATTCTTCACAAACCCCCACAGGGTTTATCAGCCTCTGTGCTCCACTTCATCTTTTTGGGGAGACCATGGTGGGAATCTGTCTGACTCTCCTCTCTCATCCCCCCCCCCCATTTTTAGGTAGCAGTGAGAGTTCCTTCAGCGAGGACCTCTCCTCTGGGGTAGACAGGTGAGCTCCGCACGCTGCCGCCACACCTTACCCATAGCCGTTTCTCATCCTTTGTCCGCTAGAGTATGTTCCTGAAGCCCTCGTCAGCTTCTCTACATTTTGAGGATGCCCCCCCTCGTACTACTATGCTCCATTGTACCCTCAGCACTGCACCAGCGCCATGTGGCTCAGTGGGTCAGGGCGCTGTGCCTGCGGTCAGAAGGGTGACCGTTGGGCCCCTGAGCCAAACCCTTAATCCCCTGTTGGTCCAAGGACTGTCTGACTCTCAAAATAATGTATGCTGGTAAATACACAAAGCGCGGGTATGGGGAAGATGAACAAGGGGTTTCAGAATATTGCTCTGTGGGGTATGTATGCTGCACTTGAGTCTGAGGGCCCCCCGTCCAATGAGACGGCACCGCGGCCCAAACTGACGTGTAAATCTGCAAACAGGGGCCGCATGTATGCCACGCTGGGCCCCAACTGGAGGGTGCCGGTCCGGAACTCTCCACGGAGCCCCAGCTATGTCTTCAGGTAGAGTGCAGGTGGTGGTTGTGGTGCGGGGGGGGTGTGTCACAGGTGGTGGTGGTGGTGGGTTGCGGGGGGTGTCACAGGTGGTGGTGGTGGGTTGGGGGGGGGGTTGTCACAGGTGGCGGGAGGTTGGGTCATCACGGATCTCTGCATGCTTCACCGTCACGCTTGCCCCCCCCCCCTCCCATCCACGCCCCCCCCCCTCCCATCCCCCCCCATGCCCTTTGAGATGATGGGAGGTGGATTAATTGATCTGGGGCCTCCTGGCTGACGTCAGCATGGGTACAGGTGTCGCTGTTTGAATTGACCATTCCATCTCTCCCAGGGAGGGGGGAAGGCCCTCCTGTTTGCCGGGGCTCTGGGCTGTCAGCCTACCCATTAGCCGCCCCTGGTCACATGACATCACAGGCAGTTCTCGGGCGTGGGTTGGAACGCAGATGAGGTCTGGTCTCTCATTCCCAAAAATGCGTGCGGATGAGTAGCTGTACTGGTTTTCATGATGTTGAGCTGAAAGCTTTCGCTTGCTGGTGAGTTCACTCTCCATTAACCCATGCCCTCCAGGCTTTCTACTTGAAGTTTGCATCAGTCTCAGCCGGACGAGCTTATGTGCCTTTTGGCATGAACAGTGTTAACTGGGCCAGCCCGACACTTTTTGGTACCTTAAGCAAAATTTGATCAATCTAGTTGTCATCTGTCGTCTACCTTCCCATTCTGAACAGATGAGCCCTAAGCTGCTTGTTTGCTTATGCCTTGGGTTGGCCCAATCTTGTAGCCAATAAGAGGGCAAGAGAGCAAGGAAACAAGTGAAGGCTGAACCAATGATCATCCTGTGTCGCTGGGAGCTTTAACAGGACTGCTCTGCAGTATCTCCAGAACAGTGGATTCTTGAAATTGAGTTTTCCAGGGGCCTGTCTTGCTGGCTTTGCGGTGCTTCTACCTACTGTGTCACAGAGCACGCCCTGTAGCGCCACACCCTTCACATTCCTGCACATTCATACTTGTGGTCCATCTTTGGTCCGATTTCCTTTCTGAATTCCTGCTACTATTCCCTGAACAATGAACGACTGAGATGCATTTGCGTCACAGCGTGGACCGTCAGCACTGTTTTGATTTTCCAGTGGAACCTGCCTTCACGTACGGCCCCCAAACCTGGTGCGTTGGCAGTAGGTGGTAATGGGAGAAATTGGGAGTCTCAAAGCTCTTCAGCAAGAGCTAACACCCCCGAGGCAGGGGGAGGGGGGGTCCAGAGGCCCCGCCTCTTTCCAGCCAGGTGGGGCTGCACACCTGTGAGACTGGAAGGACTGGCAGTGGAGGGGGACGACTTCGTCATCATTGCTCACCATCGCATTTCATAGAAGCGGAATGTAAATGCACCTCTTTCATTGAGGGCTTTTTTTGTTTTGATAAATGTCTTCTCCACAGATTATGAATACACACCCGTCCCTGGCACAGATCATTTCTTGTAATTTGTGCATCACACTGGGAGACTAATCATCACCTTTGTTTGAAAGACTGGCACCTCTGTCCCAGAAGGTTACAGATCAGTTGACTTACACCCCCTATATTAACGACGTGCTTCCTTAAGAGCAGAATATCTTGTCCTCTTTATTGATAATTACCAATTGTTTCCCTGAAGTGGAATATTCTAAGTGCTGTGGAATGGGGGTGTGAGTGGATCGTGCCGTAATCAGGGGTCACATTCTCAGGCTAACTGCTTCAGGATATCCTGGGAAAACTTGGACTGGGGCTTTCTGGGACAGAATTTTGGGATCACCACACAGGATATCGCTATGAAATAACTGGGATCAGAAACCTAACTGGTTTTAGGATCCACTGGCCAACTCATGCCGCAGGTTGTAGGGTAACATCCCGTTCTGTTCGAACCCCACAGCCCGTCTGGTGCCAACTCTACGTACGAGTTCAGCACCATGAGCAGCATCACCATAGAGGGGGCGTTGCGAAGGAAGACTCTGCTGAAAGAGGGCAGGAAGCCCACGGTGAGTGACGCCCTGGTCCCCATGGACGGAGCTTCTGTCCCTTGGATTTATCGAAGATTTAATATAATGAGGCTAGCAGATACTTTTGTTAACATGGAACAGAGACTCACTTAAAAAGGAATGGAAGCCTCAGGAAATGGTATTTTCTCCAGGTCTGTTATCGTAAGGTTTCCAGCCGAGGAACAGTGTGTCCCAGGCTGAAGTCCAGGGGCCTTTTTAAAAAAAATAAAAATCCGAGTTGCCACCCAGGATCATTCCGTATTGAAAAATTAAACAATGTGTCCCATTTTGAACCAATACAGGACATGATTCATCCTGTAATTTTAATCTTACCCACCCACCTTCTCCACAAATTTTTTATTTTTATTTTTTATTGCAAACCCTGCTGCCCTACATCATGGGATCATGGTAAATAGTAGGGGGGGCCTTTGACTGTGGTAATGCACCTCTGAGGAACAATGGTACTGTATCCTAGGGCTGAGCTATATCATGTTGGTTTATATTATATGGCGCATGCACAATAATCACCAGGGGTTCAGGTCAGAGGCAAAGCATTTGGGTGGACGCCAGCTTTTGGTACTATACAGATGTTTATTTACAGCCATAATTTGGTAAGCAGATTAGTAGTGCAGCTACAGTATTAATGAGATGTGTTTTATAACACCCAAAAGTTAGTTATTTGTATAAACCTGGCGTATCTTTATGTTTATTAAATTCGGATATGCACTGTAGCGGGACACACCACATAATAGTTTTGGTATATTATGGTTTTGTATACTTCAGTGCGATATGCACTGTAGCGGGACACACCACATAATAGTTTTGGTATATTATGGTTTTGTATACTTCAGTGCGATATGCACTGTAGCGGGGCACACCACATAATACAGTTTTGGTATATTATGGTTTAGTATACTTCAGTGCGATATGCACTGTAGTGGGGCACACCACATAATACAGTTTTGGTATATTATGGTTTAGTATACTTCAGTGCGATATGCACTGTAGTGGGGCACACCACATAATACAGTTTTGGTATATTATGGTTTAGTATACTTCAGTGCGATATGCACTGTAGTGGGGCACACCACATAATACAGTTTTGGTATATTA